TAGCTCAACTAACAGAAGCTGGAATGCTGGAATGCTGAATCACTCCCCAGTGATTCTGTTTTAATATTCTCATATTGTGACTTACTTGGCCAATCGGGGCGTGCCATGTTGAGGGGTGTTGACAACAAACCCTCAGAACATCAGGCCTTCTTTTAGATACAGGATGCTCTGATTTGTGGCTAAGAAAATTTCTATGTGCAGAAATTACTTTAACTTTAATTTATCTCTAATGAACATTGTGTCTGAGTGTAGACAATGATTCACTTGTTAAATCAAACATTACTGATCATCATAATATTATTCATTTCAACTTCAGTAATTCAAGCACAGATTAATCAAAACATTATTATTATTCATCAACCATTATTGTTCATTCGACCATATGATTATTTACTATTATAACGGTTCAGTCCTTCATTCTGTGCAGGGCAGCCTAGATCAGCAGACAGGCTTGGCAGAGAAGAACCTTGAGAAGGGAACATGATGTTGACAATACGTTATTATGTGTTCAGAGCTGCAGAACCTTCTGGGCTTGTTGGAAAGTAGAATTTCAAATCCATTTTAGAGAATGGAATTTATGTCTGTAGATGACCGGTGGCATGTAGGTCAATCTGTAGGTGAAAACTGACCATTCCTGGACGTTACATGGTCTCGGATTTAAAGGAGCTGATTTTCATCCCAGCTGAAACACACTTGAACTGCTACAGTACAAGCTAGAGATCCCTTTCTGATGGAGCCAACAGAACCACATCATCTGCAAAAAGCAGAGACCCGATCCTCAGGCCACCAAAATGAATCCCCTCAACACCTTGGCTGCGCCTAGAAACCCTGTCCATAAAGGTTACAACAGAACATTTTGATTTCACAGTAAGCCATGCAGTTTCCAAAACGATTCAACATTAAGTTTAAGAGAAATGTGGAAAGCAGCTGGCCACATGCTAGTTCTAGCAAAGTAGAAAGCAGCTGCACGTAGCTCCTTCACCTCAACACCAGAGCGGTGACCGGCCTTAAAAGACCTGAAGGATTTTTGGTCCTCTTTTCCTTTTCCTGATCCTCATCATTCAGCTCTGACTAGGTCCATTTTTGTTTCTTTTAACACGTTGCTGGCTGCGCAGTGGTGCAGTGGTTAGAGCTGTTGCCTTGCAGCAAGAAGGTCCTGGGTTCGCTTCCCGGCCTGGGATCTTTCTGCATGGAGTTTGCATGTTCCCCCTGTGCATGCGTGGGTTCTCTCTGGGTACTCCGGCTTCCTCCCACAGTCCAAAAACATGACTGTTAGGTTGATTGGTCTGTCTAAATTGTCCTTAGGTGTGTGTGTGTGTGTGTGTGCATGATTGTTTGTCCTGTGTGTCTCTGTGTTGCCCTGTGATGGACTGGCTCTCTGTCCAGGGTGTACACCGCCTGATTGCCCATTGACCGCTGGAGATAGGCACCAGCCACCCCCCCCCCCCCCCCCCCCCACACACACACACACACACACACACACACCCACACCACCATCACCCTGCGTGGACAAAGCGGGTTCAGGAAATGGATGGATTAAAACGTTGCTTTTTCGTGACCCACTTTCCAAACTAATATAACATTTGTCTGTGAGCAGTTGTGATTGCTTGCTGGAAATTGAGTTCATGCTGTTCTGAACAAAAATGACAGTGATACATGGCGGGATCTGTCTGCTGTTCTGATTGTGAATCATCTCAGTCATTTGTTGAAGTAGCGTACTTTAGAAAAGCATGTTTGGTACAGGTTATTATGGTTATAAAAACTGAGTTGGTGCAGCTTTTGAGTATGTCAGTCAATCAATCAATCAAAGCTTTAGCGACTCTGTCAGGAAGCCCAAGGCGCTGAACAAGGTACATGAGAAATGTGAAACATGATGAATCAATCGAAAGTAAAAGCAATTCAAATAGTGCAAAAAGGTCAAACATTAAAGTAGAAGACAAACGGGTAAAACAAGGGATAAAGAGACCAATGAAAACAGGGAAATAAAATCAACATAAAAGAGGGCCAAATTCAAACATGTTCAGGGAACGCCAAGCGGAGGAGGCTGGTTTTTAGGTGACTCTTAAAGACTGGCCGAGATGGGGACAGCCTAACTAAGGGTGGCAACTGGTTCCAGAGTGAATGTATGTATCTTGCATGCTGTTGAAACGGCAGCAAGGGAAGAGAATGAAGAGGAGAGAGGAGCAGGAAACCAGAGGGTAAGCTTCAGGCAGCAGGTCTCTATACTTCTGAATCAGCAGGGCCTTTCCTTTTCTTTCCTGTTTGTCTTGTTTTAGTCAGGTTGCCACAGATTGTCCAGCACTGTAATCACAACTTCATCCTGAAGGTCAAGCCTGCTTCCAGCACATTTCCTCCTTGTTTTAGGTCTTGAACACAGCAGACTTGTTTAATTTAGTAATTAGCCACGCCGGTAGTCCTTAATGAAGGCTGGGGAGACATTTCAGCTGTTGTTAAAAAGAGGAACACACAGCGAGGAGAGCTTTTTTGCCCCATGTAATTAATCATGGACACTAGGGGGTGCTAAAAACAAGCACAACCACAAGTGTCCCTTTACCAATACAGCATTGAACCCTGTAGTAGTAACATCACCTAAAACAACAAAAATATAATATACATCAGAATTTGCATCTTCACAGGACATGTTAAAGCTACAAACTAGCTAGCTTAAAATATTATTTCATGCCTCTTAACAACGTTTTAACATTGTATATAAATATTTTGTTGAGTTAAAAAACAATGGAAAAAATGATTAGTTATCTCGTATTTGTCTAAAAACCTCAGCCAATAATACGGCTCAGTACGAAACCTCTTTGGTATGTTCTTGCTGTGTTGCTTTTCTAACTGCATTGCTGGTTCTTTTTTAAAACAGAAAAGGTTTCTATTTACCTTGCTGACAGTTTCGTTCGCGGCTGCAAACTTCCTCAGAGCTGACGCTGATGGTGGCGTCACTTCCTACTCCGTTTATCCGCGGGCAGCGGAGGACGTTTACACATTGGATCGAGCATGGGGCCGCATCAACGGAGAGGGGAGAGCGGGCAGCAGAGGGCGACAACGTCCAACGTACCCAGCTTTGCAGGTGCCAAAGCTGAAGGTTTTGACTATGTCCAAATCCTTCTGGTGAAAGAGGCTTGCTCAGACTGCTGTTCTGAGCTTCTCTCTCTTTGTCTGTCTGACTTACTGAGACTGAGAGTGAAGCTCTTTTTAAGGCCTGGTGTTATCTCAGAAGTTGCCAAGCATCTCAGAACACAGTCTCCGATTCTGAACTCTGAAATGTGGGACAAGGTTACTTATGTGTCATGTCTTTATCTTAGCCTTACTCTGTCAGCAAGTGTGATGACCCAATCCAGTAAACATAATTAGTATCATTGAAACTGATTCATGAAACATTTCATCATTTATACATATACATGGCAATATTTAGTGATTATTAATTATACAATCTTAGTCATAAGATCTTCTTTTCTTCAATGATTATTTTGAATTTCAAAATGATTACTTTTAATTATGAAATCTTCTTTTCTTCTGGGAATAAAAGTTTATCTAACAGAGTTCTCTTGTGAAGGAAGGATCCTGGAAAAGAATGCTACTGTCATCTTTATAATCTGATGAAGCTGTGTGCAGCTGATGAAGTCATCTGATTAAAGAGCTGAGTGCAGACTCCAGTCTCCGGTCTAGGGAAAATACAGCCGAACGTGGCTAAGCCAGGGTAAGTTTACCTCCCTGTGCATTTGACACGTGGAATCTGAAAAGCAGGCCATTTGGTGACGTTACAAAATTCCTCCTTTTCTATTTTACCGAACCGCCACACCTCCCCGGGTCCTGATTACACACTCATGTATTTAGCAACAGAACACCACTGGTGTGAGAGGTTCTCTGCTCAGTAATATCAGAGAAGGAGAAACAGCCAGCTGCTACCACTTCAGCCTTAGGACAAACTACCAGAGTCCCAAACTAAAAACATCATTTGAAGTCACAGATAAAAAAGATATGTTTGGACCTAGAAAACAGTGACTGGTGTTTAGCGCTATCTCGTTTACTGTGGCGATGTGGGTTTCTGGTGACAGGAGAACATGGTCCAGGGATGATCAATCAATCAAATTTTTATTTGTATAGTGCCTTCCACTGCCTTTACAGAAGCCAAAGGCGCTGAACAAGATATAAAAACAGTAAAAGAGCAAAAAGACAAAGAGACAGATTAAAAACCGCATAAAAAATTACTAAAATTACAAGACATGGGAGGATGGGAGGGGTCAGAGTTCTGTGACCATGTTTGTGTTTAAAAGCTAGCTTGTTTTGCATGTCTGGCATTGCAGCTTTTGTCTTTGCAACATTACTAAGTTTATTAAACTTTTTTTGGGTTTGTAGCTGAAACTGCCCAAACATTACACTGTAACGTACCACTGGTCACATTTTCACCAACAAAATGACCAGAAATTAACTTTCATTTGCAGACACAAACGTGTTGATTTAACAAGTTAATCTATCAGTATACTCATGCACATCATAATAAGATTATTATTAATGTTTAACTTCCACTTCACAGAAGTGTTTAAACATTCTCATTCACACAGGGAGTTAACCTCTCTGAGGATCTGACCGAAGGAGGGACTTCTGAGGTGTTTTTGGCAATGCCCTCAAACGTGTCAAATTCTGATTTGCCTAATGTATCAACAATGTGATTCGATGAAACAGAATTGTTTCTTTAATTAATTCAGGTTCTCGCTGACTATCCAACCAGCATATTCGGGAACAGGCATTTTGAAACCATCCTATCTTTGGACCTCAGGTCAAAACCTCTGCAACGCTTGGTGATATCAGACAAAACGGCTCTTCTAAGAGAATGCTTTCAGAATGCAAAACAGAATCAGAAATGTGTAAATCAGAAGCTTTCAAAATTTAAGTTGCATGCAGATTTCCTGTTTCTTAACTAGTAACAAAAAGCATGTCATTACCCGTGAAACCGCCGTAGCAGAACATCAAATAAACCACAGACCTTTATGGACACATGCGGCTGTCTTTCTCCTTGATTTTGAACTTGCATGAACTGCCAAAATCGTGCGTGGTCTTGAAGCTTCCTGGTGATTTCGTGACCTGGTGGAACCAGCTGTGTTGGACACTTTTGCTGCCTTTTTGTGTCTGAAAGGATCCCAGAGGAAAGTCAGTTTGCGGGTAAATTGTGTCTATTACATAACGTGCTGCCTACGCATCCAGTGGAAAGTTACTCTGAACGTCTTAAGTTGTGAAAGATGATAAATTCGTTGTTCTTCATAGATGTAGTGTGCATTTATTTTCCAGTAGAGGTTACTGTGTAAGTAGGTTCCAAGATCTAGCTTTGTCAGAGATGGAGATGGGTTCATCTTTGATGAACACAAGAGTTTTGGGGGAAGGTTGAAATCTTGGGTTGACAATTAGTTATTTTGTTTCTGATGTATTAAGATCATGGTCTACCACGTCCCTGTTTGATTTGTGCTAAGTACTCATTTTGCTTACACTACATGGTCTATCACTTAAGATGTTTCATGAAGTCAGCTGTGAGTAAACCTGTCGGTTCTCTTGTTGATTCTTGTGTTTCTGAGTGTTTTGTGGCTTTAAAACCATGTTTTTGCTTGGAAAACATCATCTGGCACTAATTAAATCTGAACAGGATGAAAATCCACAGTTTTTCCCTTTATTTCTGCAGCGAACAACCAGCTGCACCATAATTATGGACCTTTGAGCAAACAATAGTTTTCACTGAAGCTGTGTTAATCAAAGATAGGCTGATCTGGGAGCAGAATCGTGACAGCCATTTGTCAGATAAACTTTAATAAATGAGAAGACCATCTAGATAATACAGCTCTCTCTCTCTCTCTCTCTCTCTCTCTCTCTCTCTCTCTCTCTCTCTCTCTCTCTCTCTCTCTCTCTCTCCATCCTTCTCTGCAGTGAGGTGTGAACATTAAAGTGAATGTGGAGGAGGAGTTCTCACGTGGGGAGAGCGGTGGGGGAGCCAGGCAGAGGCAGAGGAAAACAGCAGCAACGCAGGCAGACAGAGATGAAGGCTGGTCGGAAAGAGGCTTCAGTGCAAAAAGAAAATGAGCATCTTCCCAGCTCTGTTCCGTTGGGAGTCTTTCTAATCTGAGAAGAATGTGGAAGCTTTAAGTAGTGTCCATCTAACGAGTCTGGTAGGTTTCTCATGCTGCGTCTGTCTGAACTGCATGCTAATGTTGCTGTTCATGTAAATGAAACAATAAATCATTCATGGTCATGTTCTATTACTCAGAATTAACCATTTTTAGAGAAATGTTGCTTCCTTTAAAAGTTTGACTGCTGCAGTGCAAAGACAGAATAAAGAAGACATTCTGGATTTAATTATTACGGGTATTTTGGGGCTTAAACCAAATTCTCTTAAGATATGTTTCCACTGAAGCTAGTTTTTTCTGCTACACCCCATCATCATCCTCTCCTTTTCTCATTTTTAATACTCTTTTTTGAAATTTTCCAAAAATGTCTAAATATCTGCTAGCATCCATCACAAAGTCTACAAATTTCCCATCCTGTCAGACGCTTCCCCATCACCGTAAAGCTCCAGCTTGTCTTTTCCGGTTTCCTGTGATCCCGGCGGGACTCAGACATGTTCTGTGATAACTGGAGTCTCACCACTGATGTCTCACTGCAGATGGAAGTTTAATATAAGCCCAGATTTCTTCCTCTGGTGGAAACAGAGACACAGAGCTGTGAATTCCTCCACAGCGGCACCCAGAAGATGCTATTGCCCTTCTTTATAAACGTATTAAGGGCATTCCTGTGATTTTTTTTCTCTAAACATGATCTTTTTATCTTTTCTGTTTTGCTCTCAGTCACGATCCTGATTTCTAAAAACAAAACCACAAATGTAAGCTCACTGCTGAAAGCTGGAAAAGGATGGACATAGTAGGTGACGTTCAAATGTCCTCATTTAGTACTTTTGAGGCTTTTGTTTACATTTATTTTCTGATGTTTTTAAAGTTTTTTAGGTGACACAAAAGGGAAAGTACATTATCCTGGATCACATCAATACTTTCACTCATGTTTGATCTAATCTATGTGCATCTTTAATTCAGATCAAGCTGCTTTTTGCTCCATGGTGCTTCCATGAAAAAGCAGTTCTGCTGCTTCTTCTTCATGTAGCCTGATGAATCCGGCTTGAGCTTGTAAAGCAGCGATCACAGATCCATGGGCTGCCTGCTCTCTCTGATCTCCTGCATGGTTGAACACCCAAAACACAGTGCAAATGCTGTGATGCTCAGCATTTTACACTAAAACTTTCCTCACCTGAGTTGATTTTAGTGCCTGTTTGCACACCGTCACCAACCAGTAAGCTTTTGAGAGTAACGTATTAATAGCTTCCTGTGAAAGCTCAGTGGAAAATGAGAATTTTGCCATTTTCTCAGAAAATGGATCAAATATTCTCCAGACTAACAGAGCACATCCTCCTCCAGCTGCATCACTCCAGAACACACCAGGAAGCTGAAACTTTACAGGGATTAGAATCTAAAATCACACATTTCTACCAAAGAGGCCACTGATTCTTGAAAAACAGACGTTTCACTAAAAATGAAAAAAGCACCTACTCTAAATCCCTATCATGCATCAGTTGTGTTTTCATTTTTCCTCTATTGTATTGATGCTCACTGTGCTTCATGGAGGGGTCCTCAACAATCAGTGAGCAGAAAATAAAATAGCCAAACAAAATTAAAAAAGGTGTTTTTTACGTTTGAACACAACCCTCAATGGTCTGATGCTTTGCTGGGTCTATAAAATGCTTTTAGACATGCAGATCTGTGACTCACCTTCAAGTGCACCACTTTGATTTCAATGTTGTGCCACTTGTCACGATGCAGTACTATAAGAGTGTGTGTGTGTGTGTGTGTGTGTGTGTGTGTGTGTGTGTGTGTGTGTGTGTGTGTGTGTGTGTGTGTGTGTGTGTGTGTGTGTGTGTGTGTGTGACATCATAAGTGGCATCTTTTTGTGCAGATGCAGCAGGGGGACGGAGGCTCCTATACAACATTGTTTCAGGCCAGAGATCGGCAGAGACGGGTCTCTCCTCCTCTGAGCTGCTCATTATAAAATATCAATCCTGCTACGATGGTGGCTGGAAGCAAAGCATCCAAGGCAGAGAAGAGCTTCTGCTCTCTTTGTTTTTGTTGAGTGAATATAACCAGAGCACCCATCGCTGGATCAGAGACAAGATCCAATCAATTACAGAGAAGTGGAGCTGAGCAGGCTGCATCGAGTGGCCTGTTGGACCACCTTACCTAAAACCTTCCAGTTCATATTTGGAACCAACAGCAGAATTAAAAGGCATCAGAACGAATAAAGATGAACCCTTCTAGGCAGCAAACCTTAAAATAATGGATCCAAAAAATTTTCATTATAAATTTAGCATCAACATTTCCATTTGCAGAGACCTTCAACTCTGTGGAACCTGCTACAACCAACAATAAAATGGTCCCTGTGTTCATCTAGTAAAATATCAGCCTGTTTGGAATAACTCAGCTGGGGATCGTTCTGAGAAGACTTTTTCTGTGCATGGGAGCTTGTCAAACATTTTAATAAATCTGAAAGCTGCAGATAAAATGTCTTTGGCACTGTGCCAGCAAAGATCACTAATGCAGAAGCTTTCCTCCTTTCATAACAGCATTTTCAGATTTAATAGAAGTGATGGAAAATTTGATTTGATCAGAATTTCCTTAAATCTTCTCTCACTCCAGACATCCACCATGTCTGATTTGGAGGATTTCAGCCGGCCAGGAGGTCAGACCAACGTGTCAGAAAGCTACCAGCTGAACCCCACCAGCGTGATCGTATCCGTGGTCTTCTCCATCATCTTCCTGCTCGGCACCATCGGCAACAGCCTGGTGCTGGCCGTGCTGCTGCGGAGTGGGCAGGTCGGGTACAACACCACCAATCTGTTCATACTCAACCTGAGCGTGGCTGACTTCTTCTTCATCATCTTCTGCGTTCCTTTCCAAGCCACCATCTATTCCCTGGAGGGATGGGTATTTGGCTCTTTCATGTGCAAAGTGGTCCACTTCTTCATCAACCTCACCATGTATGCCAGCAGCTTCACTCTGGCAGCTGTGTCTGTCGACAGGTGGGAAGTTTTACCTTTTAGATTGCAGACAGTAAATGTAGTTTTCCCTGATGTTCAGCAGCCATTTCTCTGATTTCTCATTAGTTTGTTTCCTTATTTTGTTTGTTGAATGCCATATTTCAAACAGGTTGTTGTTTAGTAAAGCCCCAGTCCTAAAGCAACAACAAAATACTAACAAAAACAAAAATATATTTAAATTGGTGCTTATTTTAACTTAAGAAAATCTAATGCACTAATTGGTTCATTAAAATCCTCTGCACCTCCTCCTAATTAACAGCAATTAGAGTGCAGCTGCACATCAGACTAGAAAAATCTCCTCACAGAGGTCTAATTTAGGCATGACAAACATTTGTTTTAACTTATTTTTTGTTTACTTGATTTCAGATTCATTCATTACTGAAATGTTATTTATTTATTTGTTTATTTATTTATTTATTTATTTATTTATTTATTTATTTATTTATTCAACACTTATGCAACAGGCAGATGAAATGAAAACTATGGTGCATAATTCATCCCTTCACAATGAAACCTCTGCAACCTTTTTTGTTTTATGTAAACTATCTCCAGCAGTGTTTCAGTGGTGCATTTTTTAAATTATTTTAGTTTTGAAAAGGTTTTCTGCTGCTTTTCAAAAAAAAGCAAAGACAAGTGGAAAATGCAAATAATGATTTTATGCTCTTTCAGATTCTCGTGGTAAGAGCTAGAATAAACAGAAACAATTCAGTAATTGTCTTCATTGTTATGTAAGTACACATTTAAACAGAGATTAAGACGCATTATCCTCTCACCTGTTGGTCTGTTTAGTCAAGACTTCAGGTCAAAAGTGCTGCAGAAGTGTTAAGTAATTCTGTTTCATATTGTTAGAAGGTACTCTGGGAGTATGGGGTACCAGGCCCTCTGATACGGGCTGTTAGGTCCCTGTATGACCGGTGTCAGAGCTTGGTCTGCATTGCCGGCAGTAAGTCGGGCTCGTTCCCAGTGAGAGTTGAACTTCGCCAAGGTTGCCCTTTGTCACCAATTCTGTTCATAAACTTTATGGACAGGATTTCTATGCACAACCAAGGTGTGGAGGGCATCCATTTTGGTGGTCTGAGGATTGAGTCTCTGCTTTTTGCAGATGATGTGGTCCTGGCTTCATCAGAACATGATCTTTGGCTTTTACTGGAGTGGTTTGCAGACAAGTGTGAAGCAGCTGGGATGAGAATCAGCTCCTCTAAATCTGAGGCCATGGTCTTGATTCGGAAAAGGGTAGAATGCCTTCTCCAGGTCAGGGATGAGGTCCTGCCCCAAGTGGAGGAGTTTAAGTATCTCGGGGTCTTGTTCACGAGTGAGGGAAAACTGGAGCGTGAGATCGATAGGTGGATTGGTGCTGCGTCTGCAGTGATGCGGGCGTTGTACCGGTCTGTCGTGGTGAAGAGAGAGCTGAGTCAGAAGGCAAAGCTCTCGATTTACCAGTCGATCTACGTTCCTACCCTCACCTATGGTCATGAGCTTTGGGTAGTGACCGAAAGAACGAGATCGCGTATACAAGCGGCTGAAATGAGTTTTCTCCAAAGAGTGGCTGGGCTCTCCCTGGTAGCGTGAGAAGCTCGGCCATTTGGGAGGGGCTCGGAGTAGACCCGCTGCTCCTCCACATCGAGAGGAGCCAGTTGAGGTGGCTCGTGCATCTGGTCAGGATGCCTCCTGGACGCCTCCCTGGTGAGGTTTTCCGAGCATGTTCAACCAGGAGGAGACCTAAAAGTAGACCCAGGACACGGTGGAGGGACTATGTCTCTCACCTGGCCAGGGAACACCTTGGGATTCCCCCAGAGGAGCTGGCCCAAGTGGCTGGGGAGAGGGAAGTCTGGGCCTCTCCTTAAGCCTGGTTTATGCTTCTCCGTCAGCTCCGCAAGGGACAGACACGCACGGATTGACGGAAGCGTTTTGCTTTCATACTTCTCCGTCTCCTGGAGAGTGTTGCAAAGCAATTGCCCGGCAGGTCAACAGAGGGCGTAGCGCTGTTCTTTGGTATCCTGTCATGTATCGGTCCCAGATAGTGTGTTTATATTGTGTTTTTTGTGTATATAAGAGACTTTTAACACGGACATATTTGTCTCTCATTCTCCCACCACTTCATGCGCTCCCCACCTCTAAACCCACGTTTCCTGTCATTTCCGTCCACAAATAAAACGCTTGCTGCGCATCTTTTCACTCCTCCAGTCACGGGAGAATTAAACATTCATATTTTTAGAGTTTTTTCGCGAGGCATTCTTCAAGCTTCTCCGTGTCTGCCGCTAGTTATCCTCGGCTCTCTTTGCAATGGCGGCGCTGTAAACAGCGGCGTCCTGACCAATCACAAGCTTGCGTAATCCGTCTCGTTCGACGGATGTTTAAAAAAGTGGGCTCGACTCCGTACGTACTTGCGGGCCTGCCGGATCCCTACGCAAGGACGGATAATGGCGTTGCGTGTGCTCCGCACTGACGCAGACGGAGAAGCATAAATCAGGCTTTAGGCTACTACCCCCACGACCCGACTCCGAATAAGCGGATGAAAATGGATGGATGGATGGATGGATGGATGGATGGATGGATGGATGGATGGATGGATGGATGGATGGATGAATGAATGGATGGGGGATGGTTGGATGGATTGATGGAAGGATGAATGGGGGATATCCATAGATGGATGGATGGATGGATGAATGAATGGATGGGGGATGGTTGGATGGATTGATGGAAGGATGAATGGGGGATGGATGGATGGATGGATTGTTAGAAGGGTAATAATTTAAAATCTGTGAAAAGATTTTTAAGATAAAATACTTTTTTTCTGGCATGCTCATGCATGTTTACTTCCTGATATTTGTTTCATTGTTCTAGTTATATTCATATAATCTAAATAATTTTATGGCAGAAAATAAATAAAAATATCCAAATCCTAGATTTAAATGATGTAGTCTTTCATGTGAAGTTATATAAACTCATTTGCATATGAAGGTAAATATTTAAAAAGCGGCTGTCAGAACAAAACATCAGGCAAATCCTTTTGCTTCTGAGGACGTTTTTGAATAAAACAAGTGACACTTTCAGAAAGGTTCAGCTGAAAGTATTCTCCATTTTCTTTGGTTACCAAAGGAAACCCCGTGTGGAACTAGTTAAAAAGTTCTTCTTAACCTGGTGTCACTCAATAGTGCACCGTATGAATGGCTGAACTTATATCAGATGAAATGGTTTCTTTTAAAGCAGAACAGCAGAAACGAAAAAAAAATAAAAATAAAGAAGATTTCCTTCACCGAGTGAGCGCTGAGCCGTCATTGCAGCTGTTAGGAAACCTAATCAGCTCAGTCAATAACAACCAGTCTGCGAGCCGCTCTACAGCACTTTGCTGTGTTTCCTTTGGAGGATTCCATGGTTGTTTCCTCTTCTGTGTGGAAAATAGCAAAAACATGTAAGTCAGGAGGCTAATGATTCTTCTCTCCTGCTTGCTTCCTCTGTGTTCATGTGGTATACACACACACTTACCCAGATAAAAATAAGCCTGAAATTGGTAGTTGGACACAAATCTGCACCAGAAATTAATCAGGACTAGAGCAGCTGCTTTAATACTGCATGCATCCAATTTTACATAAAGCTTATCTAAAATCATTGTTTGCTAGTGGAAAAAGTATTTTACAGAAAAAGCAATCTGAGAGAATTAGATCAGTATCAGTCATCAAATTGTGAGCTAGAGGCTCATGCTTTCAGTAGGGTTGTCACAATACTAAAATTTCAAACTCGATTCGATACTTGAAAAAAAACTCGATGCTCGATTTCGATACTATTTAAAAACACCCATTTATTGAACAAGTTTATTCAAAAAATAACATTCCTCCATTTATATTGCAAAAATTAAATGTTAAGAATTAAGTGTGTAAAGTGCTTAAACCTTTCAAGTATCAGCATTTTTTAAAACGTGCGTACAAAAACTGGTGAAAGTTAACACTTTAAATCATGAATTGTCTCACTATATATACACTATTTGCAGAGTGATGTTTTGCTGCTTAAACTCTGTTTAAGGTGCATTTTTGTCATAATGCTGTAATGCCATATGTTTTGTTCTGTACTTTTGAACAACTCTGTTGGTCTATAAAGGGAGAAAGCGAATTTCTCCACAGTAGGACAAAGGTACATCTACCGGTAATCTAAATAAAAACAGATTGGCGCACGGCAGTGACGTCATTAAAAGCGCCGGTTAGATTAGCCGCGGCTAGTTTGTTCACGCCTAGAAATCCCAGACCCGCTCCAAACGAACAGGGGAATCACGTTAATGATTCCTAACAAAACCTTTCGACATGAAGATGTTTTGGTGCAGATAATGTCTTATTTCGAGGCTGCACCACGGGTGCCCGTCCGCACCCGTTATATGGATATACGCTGACGACGATTCGCCGATGGATCTAAATACCCCGGGGAATCCAAGTAGCACCAAAGTTGTCAGCGTGAGTAAACAAACGTACTGCATGCTAGAAATTAAGTCCGGGTTGCAATAAACGGGAGTTTCCTTTAAGCACATAAGCGTGAATATACAACTACGTGTCGGACTTGGTATGCTAATTAAGTTCAATCAATCAATCAATCAATCAAAGCTTTATTTATAAAGCGCCTTCCGCAACCCTGTCAGGAAGCCCAAAGCGCTGAACATGGTACAGTTGTATGTAAATATATTGAATAAATCAACAATAAAAGAAATTCAAATTACAAAAAAACAAATTACAAAATACAAAATGGAAATTACAAGATAGATGAAACATTCCGGTAAAATACAAATGTGTGAAACACAATTGGATTGAGCGGATGGATTGAGTGTACCAATGAAAACTGTGGAATGGATTCAACATAAAGAGGGCCATAATCAAACATGTTCTGGAAACGCCAAGCGGAGGAGATGTGTTTTTAGGTGATTCTTAAAGACTGGCAGAGAAGGGGACAGCCTAACTGAGGGTGGCAAATGGTTCCAGAGTAACGGTGCTAGGACTGAGAAAGCCCGGTCCCCACGGGTACGACACCTAGACCGAGGGACAGCGAGCAGGCCTTGGTCAGAGGAGCGCAGAGCGCGTGATGGGGAGTGTCTTTTCAGGAGTGTGGCTAGATGGGGGGAGCACCACCCTGGAAGAAATGATAAACAAAGACGAGGATTTTGAATTGTGAGCGATAGAAAATCGGAAGCCAGTGCAGAGAGGCCAGAACCGGACTGATGTGGTCCCGTTTCCTGGTCCCAGTCAGGAACCTGGCAGCGCTGTTCTGCACAACCTGTAGGCGACGCATTGTTGACTGACACAACCCTGCGTAGAGAGAGTTGCAGTAGTCAAGCCGAGAAATTACAAAGGCATGCAGTACCCGCTCCAGGTGGGCTCTCGACAGCATAGGCTTGATTTTAGCAAGGCGTCTCAGGTGAAAGAAACTGGACCGGACCACAGAATTGATGTGAGCGTCAAATTTAAGTCCTACATCAAGTTTCACCCCCAAACTGGTAACAACTGGTTTTGAGTATGGAGAAAGAGGGCCAAGATCAGCATAACGATCCACATTCACATGTAGCCCAACACAAGTTGGGCTGTGAAGCGCCTCCCAAATTCGCTGTTTATGTTTTTGTTTATTTATTTGGCAGACAAAACTTGGATTGGAGACAACTCGCGTGGGAAATTGCAATGTAGCCATGCGGTGTCTTCTTCTTCTGTTTGTCTGGGAGGCGGAGGCTGCTTTACGGCATCTGGCTGTCGTGCATGTCGGTGTACTTGAAGAAGGCTGTGTATAATAGTCCATAATATCGATACCACAGGGATGGAATATCTAATTTAGATACCACTTTTAGTATCGATTTATATCTGGGTATCGATTTTTTTGACAACACTAGCTTTCAGTGGGCTTCACACTCATCCAGGTATGAAAGTCGGTCAGATTTATAGAACCTGCATCTGTTTTTATGCATTTGACCGGTTAGAGTGAAATACATCTTTGAAAGTCCATCGAAACAGTCATTTCAGTCCTTTCGGCTGGAAATGGTGAGTTTTGTCTGTGAAGAATCATGTCGCCGCAGCTCCACAAGAGCAGGCTCAAAGTGTCTGCTGTTTTTCTTTCATGTCAAACAGAAGTGGTTTTGTCCCCATTTCAGGGAAATTTCAAAGAGCAGCTAGTCTGTTCTCCGTGTTTCTGGAGAGCTGACTGAAGTGTTCCGTAAAAGCAAAAAAAAAGAAGAAATGAATTTGCTGTTTACCTGAAATAGCCACAAAAACAGCTGGACTCGGCAGAAACCCATCAGAGATCAGTCGACTCATGAGTAATAACATCAAACATTTATTGATTATTGACAAAGGAATCATTAATTATTGGATGTAGAAAACTACATGACCAATCTCACCTGTTGAAGTTGACTCTTTGACCCTCTTAGGACTTTGAGCTGTCCAGCGTTGCACTCCTTGCACATCCAGGAAGTGACTTTTTTCCACAGTGTACACCTTTTCCTGCCCTTGCTTGTCAGTGCAGGAAAAGTAAAAAATGGTTGCTATGGCAAAAATATTTTGTCTACGTCTGGAACCTTCTCAATAAATCTAGAGGGTTGTTGTCCCTTTCTGGAAGATTTTCTGATTGGTATTCCTTCCATTATTTACAGAATATAGCATCAATCTAACAAGCGACTAAAACCCTCAGGAAACACAGCTAAAAACATGAACTACGGCTAAAAAACCACATGAATAATTACCATACCACTTGTATTTATAGAGCACATTTAAAAACAGCGTTGTAAAAAAGAGACAGAAGATCAGTAAAACCAATGTTAAAATGAATCCTCACAATCAAAGAATATACAACAGGCCGATATAACATAAAATATGATAAAATCAACAATGCAACACAAATTGCAATAAACATAAAAATGTGGTTGCAATAACAAGATGAAAACAACAGAATAAGAGCAAAAGAATGGTAAAATAGTAAAAGGAAATGAATACATTACAGGGACAAAGTCCGCTATGAAAACATGTGTCGTCCAAAAGCCATTCTGAAGAGATGTGACTTAAGGCTGGATTTGAAACGTGCAAGTGAGGGAGCCAGAAGCACTGAGAGTGGGAGTGCATTTGAGAGGTCAGGAGCAGCAAAAGCAAAAGCAAAAACTCTCTAAAATATGTCAGAATCTATACTAAGATTACTAAATGCAAGTATAATCATACCACTACAAAGTGCAGAGTGTCAGCTTTCCGGATCGGTTCAAACGACATTGATTTTGCAAACAGTCTAAGAGGTACAGTGTTTTGGGTATTCAAGCTAAGTTGCATTGGCACCAACACATCAGCCTTAGGAGAACATTAGCATTCACAGACTCACCCATCTTGGCTTGCGACTGCAGAAAGCTATGTTGATATAGCACCCAGGAGAGAACACAGCATCCTGCCGTTAACTCATTCACTGCCATTGACGACTAAAGTTGTCATTTGCATTTTTTTTACTGTGTGGGTGTCGGAACGAGTCCCCGCGCCGAGAGAACAAACTTCTCAGCTCTAACGCCGATCTTCATCCGCATACGTCACACGTCACATGATCAGGAAGCAGAAAATTCATGTGTTAGGAGATCGTTTTGGGCTGTAAAAAAGTGAGGCGCGAACCAGAAAAGCTTCTGCCGATCACAATTCAACAACGGATTATGAAAGAACGGATAACGCTCAAAATGCATAGATTCTTCCTGATGTAAGAGGTGAGTCTCCTCTTTGTTTTGGTTGTCTTGGCATCTACATCATCCTCGCGGGAAACGTTCTGTGACTCTTAAAAAAACAGCGAAGGGCTTTACCGATCAGGAAACGGCTGGCAGTGAATGAGTTAACCCCCCCAATTTCTACTTCCTGAAATGGGAATGCCAGAGCTTTTTTTCTACAGAAAATGATTCACAGGGCAGTCATTCACACTACACTAGAGACCACAACAGATTTACTGGAATAAGTGTAGGCTCTCTTTAAAGATAATACAACTGGAGGTGTTGAGTTTTTATTTTTGAAACTGTATTCCTGACAATTCCAGCTTCATTAAATCATATGATAATTGATTTATTTTGTCTCTGCAGGTATCTGGCCATTCGCTACCCGCTGCGATCCCGAGAGTTAAGAACCCCGTGTAACGCCATGGTGGCCATGGTGGTAATCTGGGGTTTGTCCCTTGTCTTTGCAGGTCCATATCTCAGCTACTACGACCTGATTGATTTTGCTAACAGTACTGTTTGTATCCCCGGCTGGGAGGAGCAGAACCGTAAGGTGCTTGACACGTGCACCTTCCTGTTTGGCTACGTCATTCCTGTGCTGATCGTGAGCCTTTCATATACTAGGACCATCAAGTACCTGTGGACTGCTGTTGACCCTTTGGACGGCATGTCAGAATCCAAGCGAGCCAAACGTAAAGTCACCAAAATGATCATCATCGTCACTGTGCTGTTTTGCATATGCTGGCTGCCGTATCATGTGGTGATTCTGTGCTATCTGTATGGAGACTTTCCTTTTAATCAGACCACTTATGCCTTCAGGCTCCTCTCCCACTGCATGGCCTACGCTAACTCCTGTGTCAACCCCATCGTGTACGCCCTGGTGTCCAAACACTTCCGCAAAGGTTTCAAGAAAGTCTTTAGCTGCATCCTGATTAAAAATGGAAGAAACAAGGTTCATGTGGTTCACGTGGCCAACACCGGGCCTGGGTTCGAAGCAGGCTCCACGGAGGTGTCCCACATGAACGAGGAGAACATGCGGCAGAATGAATGTGAAATGATCAACAGGCCGAGACGAGTGGAGCCCAGAGAGGCCACAGTGACCCTGAACCTCCCGTTTCATCAACCAACTTGACCAGTGATCAGTGAAGGTTCAGAGCAGATAGACTTATGTGTACATTGTCAATCAAGGTATGAATTTTTAGAGGGCAATGTGTAAAGACAAGAAGAATGTAACTGTTATGTTCATTTCTCTCAACTCTTTGTAATTCATCATGAAATCCCTAAGATGCCATCGCAGAAAGTTGAAAAGCTTGTTCAAATTCTCAATTTCTCATTTTTCATGTTTCTATTCCTTGAAAGAGTGGAACTATGAAAATCCATTTTTAAATGGTTGTTCCTGATTACTGACTTTGCATGTGATGCCACGCCACTTTTGGAACCACCCCCTTTGCCACGATGGTTGGCAGAAAGACTGTTTCCAAATGTTGCAACTCCTGTGAGCTAGTCAAAACAAGCCTGTCCCCTTTTATCACTTTTATTTGGTTGATTTCACAGCAACATGTTAATAGGTTGCTGTGCGGTTGGCTGCATTAACAGACAAGGATGTAAACTCAACTCGTTTTTTAAAAATAACTTTGATGAAGACTGAGGATGGAGATGAAGTGCAGCAATCAATCAAATGCATGAGTGGGTTTGTGTCCTCTATTGTTCCATTGAACAAATCAAGCCCTCAAAGTATTTCCGAATTTGTAGCAAACACGTTTTACTGGGTAAAATTAGCGTGCATACCTTTTGTGAGGATGACAGAGACTGACTGTTATGGACCTGAAATGATAAATGTGTTGTGTTTGTACTACTTATTGATAATCCTATATTTTCACTTTGGAGGACATGCTGTACTGTCCACTGCAGTGAAACGCGAGATAATTACTAGCAGTAATATTTTTGCATTGTAGGAATATGTATGTCAAAATGATGTTATTTATTTAGCGTGATGAGAGATATCTTGTCCGGTCCTGGGCTGTGAGTAGCATCTGAACCCGGTGACCCCCACAAGCGACTTTTTTTGTGTATTTTCTTTCCAGTGTGAAGCGAAATGCTGTTTATTACATAACATTATAAGTCCTGTGGGGTGAATTCTGGCAAAGTCGGCAACTTGTTTACATCAGTGAACAGCAGCAGGGAGAACAAAAGCTAGCGTTTGTAAGCTAGCTAACAATTTGTAAATACTGCTCTCGATGAGCCCCACCTAGGTATGCTAAATCTTGCCACAAGTGAACTGGGCGTAAACTAGTAGAAACCGGGCTAAACTGGCAAAATAATAATAATAACCTCAGTTGCCCCTTTTTCCTCTCCGTTCAGTACTTCCGTACTTCACCGTTACCCCACCTAGGTGCGCTACTTCTGCTGATGACTGAACTTGCCTTGAACTAGTTTAAGCCATGCTAAACGTCACAAACAACAATGACAACAACAACAAAAAAACTATCTCAGGCGCTACTTTTCCCTTTGCTTCTGTTCCCCACTGTTTACATGCTTTTGCCAACCAGCATGGTGGACCCAGATGATAAGGTGATTTAGGTGCATATGGTTAATAATCGGTCACTCTGAATTTTTCATGCAGGCTGAACATGAAAACAGTGTCCCACATCATGTCTCCGGCATTAGCTTCTGATAGAAAATAGAAGGTGAAACTCTAGGATGTGAAACGCCTGACAGATCTACGTCACACTGTCATTTAACATTCATGGACTCATCCATCTTGACTTGTGACGGGGAAGGCTGTTGTTGGTTTAGCATTCAAAACACAGCAGAGAACATCTCGGCTAGAAGCTAACCGTTAGCATTAGCAACTCCACCACATGTGAGATAAAACATCAATGTCGCAAACAGAGTCAGTAGTAGTGTTGCTTTGCTGTTAGCCAATCCTAGACAAGATGTCCAAATATCAGGAAATAAGACTCCAAATCCTGCTGTCTGCTGCCCCTCTCTGCTATAGTGCTGATCCAAGGACTACTGGGCTTTGTTGCCTTGAGTACAACTTGCAAGACTTTTATTCCTACCAGGGACTACTGCAAATGTATTGATTAAACAAGTTTCCCAAACCTTGAACTTTTATTGATCTCACGCCACAAAACTGGCCCACTTTGCAGTTTAAAGATTGGCTTCTATAGACCTAAATCTGGCTCTGCGCCTCTTCTGTGAGCAGCGGGGAGGTGGTGCTTCTGTCGTTTCCACTCATCCACAGATCACTTCTAAAGTGCATCATCACTGTTTATATTTTGTGTTATTTTCAGGGACTTATCTATTTTTCACATGACGTCAAACTCAACTGTGATCTTCAAGTTTAGCCTTGAACTCCCCCCTCAGTAATCAGAGGGTGAAGTCTTTTTGTGAAACAGGGTGTTTGTTTTGTGTCGTGCATGCAGATGCTGTTCACTTGTCTCAAGGAACCATTTGTGTAACTTAAAAAACAATGCACTAAATCTAGTCAGGATAATTTGTTAAATGAACAAGAAGGATTAATTCTAAATCAAACAGATCTGGGTTCAAGTCGTCAAATAAAAGTACACATACGTTGCTTTACTTGTGTTTTGCAATACTTGTATTGCGGGCATGTTTCTCTTTAGTGTAAAACCTTATGCATTTTAATGAATTAATGTACATAATATTTTTGTATTTGAAAGTGTATCAGATGTTATAAAAGCTGTGAAATGATGATCACACATTTGCATCATCAGTTTTTCCAGAATCTGCTTGTTTTCCTGTAAGGCAGCATCCTTTGTCAGAGCTGTTACGTTTGGGATGTTTGAGCATGAGAACTGATGAGGAGGTGCAGTTTAAATCCTGGGAATCTATTTTACAAACCTGATGCTTTGTTACACCGTTCTCTTGTGTATTTACATAAACACACACACACGCACGCACACACACACACACACGGATGAGGAGCATTTTAACTTATAAGACCAAATAAACAATGTTCTGTGAGGTTCTTCTGAAGAGTTTACTTCATTTTAAATTAAACTCATTTTCTGAACCTGCTCATTCCTCTTTATTTATTTAAATTATTTATTTACAAGGTGTAACTCCAGCAGTCATCAGGCGAGAAACAGGGCACACCATAGACAGCCAACCAGTCCCTCACTCACGCCTCGGGACAGCAAAGAGTCCCCTATTAACTTCACATGCATGATTTGTTCTAAGGGAAGAGAGCAGAGGACCCAAACCCACTCATGCATGTTGAGAACATGCTAACAAGTTACCACAGGAAGACTAAATATTAATGTTTTTACTGAAAAATCAGGATTCTCTGTGTTTTATTCTCACTCCAGACTTTAACCTTTTGATGGGCATCAATTTTTTTTATTGTCTCAGGGTGTTTGACACCAGCCCCATGAAACACCTGACTTTCATTTGTGTTTATTGTTTTCCAGGAGTTTAGCTCCTGCATCTCCGGTCGGTAACAAGATGGCACCTGTGCTTGGCTTAGCCGCAGTCACCGGCCACTTTTTCAAACTTTTCTCGACTAACCTCTTTTCCACCTTGCTCCTGTCTGCGATCCTCTTCAGTAGTGTCCCTGCTACCATCTCCTATGATCGCCAGACTCTTTTGTCCTTCCGTTCATTCACGATCGCCCAAGATGCACCGAGGACGTACCATCCTGTTTGTTTACCTGAGCGGCGCACCGGCCCGGAGCCAAACGACGATTCCAACCAGGCGCCTCAAGCGATGTTTATCCGGTCCCAGGAAAACGTCGGAGGAAAAGAGGTAAACGAGCAGGAATCCAGGTGAGAACAAGTCTTCTCTTAAAGCATGGTTTATCTAGTAAACATCAACGTGATCTTTTAGCTTCTTTTCCTTTGTTTGGCGACTTGAGCGCCACTTCTGCATTCCCGCCAGGCCGCCTTGCGTCGTGGTTTCTCCATCCAAGTTTTTTAGGGTCGGTTTATCCTCATTCCTCAGTTGTTTCTCCTCCTGTTTCCTCCATAAGTGTTTTTTATAATTCAAATCAATTCAGTTTTATTTATATGGCACCAAATCACGACAAGAGTCGTCTCAAGGCACTTCACGTAAACATTCCAATTCAGGTCAGTTCATTAAGCCAATCAGAAATAATGTTTCCTATATAAAGAACCCAGCAAATTGCATCAAGTCACTGACTAGTGTCAGTGACTTGATGCAATCCTCATACTAAGCAAGCATAAAGCGACAGTGGAGAGGAAAACTCCCTTTTAACAGGAAGAAACCTCCAGAGAATCCTGGCTCAGTATAAGCAGCCATCCTCCACGACTCACTGGGGATGGAGAAGACAGAGCACACACACACACACACGACAAAGTAATGTGTCTATAGTTATATTGTGATTTCTTAGTAAATATTCTATTTGGTGGGAGATAAACTTTATTGTACTTATCCTAGTGGATCTATAATTAAACGGATAAACTAGCAGTTGTCACGATGCGGTGTTGATGGACCCAAAATGCAGTACCCAGGATGACACGGAGGCAGGGATGAAGATTTTAAGTAAAAGGTCTTTATTTTGTAAGTGAGCCAAAAACCAAGGTAATCCAAACTGGGAGTCAAAATCCAAAAGCCAAAAAAAATCCAAAAGGTCAAAAGGCAGATTCTTATCTGGGATCAAGAAACTCTGGTTAAACATGGCGGGACTAAACTGACAGAATCAACAAACATTGATGGACCGACACAAGACAAAGACAAGGCAGGGCTTAAATAGACTGGGAGAAGCAATCAGGAAAACAGGCAGCAGGTGTGCGAAGTGAGGCTGGAGGGAAGGCAGGTGACAACAATTATCTGGATGGGGAAGAGAACCAGTGGAGGACAGATAAACCTGACACTACTGTATATAAAACACAAAACTAAACCTAAAGACTAAGGGAAGAACTCACACAAACACATACACATACTGACACACACAAACTCATACACATACAATGAACTGGGGAACAAGAGGCTGGGGCTACAACTTAAGACACACAACAGAGATGCAGACAAAGGACACATGAGGGCGCTAAGAGAACACAAAAGGGAATCCAGAGAGGGATGGAGAAACATTAGGAGACACATGGGGAAAGACACAGACGCAGACCATGACAGCAGTAGCTAGTAACATTGTGGATCTAACCCTGCCAATCTATGTCCACTAACGCCAGCTGTTTCTGTAGTTTGATTCCTCCACCTCACTCAGCATGGCTCTTTTAAACACCTGCTCTGTTAACAATAAGTCCTTCCAGCTCAATGATCTAATTCTCTCTTAAAAACCTGGATTTTCTGTTTCTGACTGAAGTTTGGCAGCAAACATCTGATTATTCTGCTCTGATTGAACTTTGCCCGAGTGGTTATTCTTTTCTTAGCCAGCCCCGGGGTTCTGGTCATGGTGGAGGCCTAGCTGTTGTTTTCAGAGACCATCTTCCATGTAGCTCTACAAACTCTGGTCACTTTGCTTCCTTTGAACTGCAGCTGATTAAAGTTGGGCGTAAGGACCCGTTCTAGTGTGCTGTGGTTTATCGTCCACCTGGTCCAAACGGTTCTTTCCCTCAGGAGTTTAGTGACTTTCTATTCTCCACTGTGAAGCTGTCTAGACTGGTGATTGTTGGTGACTTTAACATCCACGTTGATGATCCCTCCAATCTCTTTGCCATGAATTTCTCCAGCCTCAGCTTTACCCAGCATGTTTCTGGCCCCACACACACCAGGGGGCACACTCTAGACCTTGTTTTTACCCCGGGTCTAAATGCTGACAGTGTTTGTCCTGAGGACGTTTATATTTCAGATCACCATTGCATTTTCTTTAACTTGTCAGTTTCTGCTTCCCCACCTCCTGCTCGCCGAATGGTTAGTTCTCGTTTTCTTAATGAGAGCACAGCTAGCAATTTTTCTGCGGCTTTTGATCCACCCTGTTCTTCTGATAACGACCCAGATTCCTTAACTTCTCAGTTTAACGAGCACTGCCTCTCCATTCTGGACAACATCTGTCCTGTCAGAACCAGATCAGTTCCTGCAGTAAACCCTACTCCCTGGTTTAATGACAGCCTTTGCAGCCTGAAGTGCCAATGCAGAAAAATTGAGCGTTTGTGGAAGAAAACCCATCTCCACGTCCATCTGCGGCACCTAAAGGATCTTCTGTCATCCTTTAACTCTGCAGTTAGAGACACCAGGGTTTCCTATTTCTCCAACCTGGTGTCCCATAGCAAAGGGAACCCCAAGGTGCTGTTTAACACCATCAGCAGCATCGTCTCTCCTGCCACTCCTACAGCCTCCATCCACTCTGTTGCAGACTGTGAGAACTTTCTGTCTTTCTTTGTGGACAAAGTCAATAAGGTTAGATCTAGCATCTCTTGCTAAGCCTTATCACTGCCTCTCCCGACTCCAACCAGGCCCATCATCCTAGATAGCTTTGCTCCTGTTTCTGTGCCTGAGTTAACCAAACTAGTTAACTCTATGAAGACCTCTGCATGCCCCCTCGACATCTTACCCTCATCTTTGTTTAAAAATGCTTTTCAGTCCATCGGCCACAGCGTGCTCTCCATAATTAATGCTTCTCTGGTTTCTGGTCAGGTCCCTGCTTACTTTAAGAACGCTGTAATCCACCCGCTTCTTAAAAAACCGAGTCTCGACCCCTCTCTCCATAGCAGCTTCAGACCCATCTCTAAACTTCCGTTCATCTCCAAGATCTTGGAAAAGGTTGTGGCTAAACAACTCACAACTGCTCTTGATGAACATAACATCTATGATAGCTTCCAGTCAGGTTTTCGTAGAGCTCATTCTACTGAAACAGCTCTTCTTAGGGTCTCTAATGACCTTCTGACTCACAGTGATGCAGGGGACTGTTCTGTTCTGGTCCTGCTGGACCTGACTGCAGCCTTTGACACTGTTGACCATCACCTGCTACTGGAGAGGCTGAGTGACTGGGTAGGCCTATCAGGATCTGCTCTGGAGTGGTTCTCCTCTTATCTCTCTGAGTGCTCCTCTTCTGTGGCCGTCTCCAAGTTTAGGTTCTCCACCACCTCTCTTACCCATGGTGTCCCACAAGGTTCTGTGCTGGGGCCTCTACTCTTACTCCTCTATCTAATTCCTCTTCAGCACATCCTGAGCTCCTTCAAAGGAATCTCCTACCATCTTTATGCAGATGACATCCAACTGTACATCTCCTTTAAGCCCCATGAGATGTCTAAGCTGCAGCTGTTACACACCTGCTTAGACTCTATCAAAACCTGGATGGTGGGAGCTTTCTACAGCTGAATGAAGATAAGACTGAGATCCTCATCTGTGCCCCAGACAAGCTGGTTCCCAAAGTCAGAGACTCTCTTGGTCAGCTTGCTTCTCACACCAAACCTTCTGTCAGGAATCTTGGCGTGACCTTTGACCCAGCTCTCACCCTGGATTCTCATGTCAGTTCTCTTGTTCGCTCTTCCTTCTTCCATCTCAGGAACATTGCTAAGCTGAGTCCCATTCTGTCCCACTCTGAACTTGAGACAGTTATCCACACCTTCATCTCCTCATGCTTGGACTACTGTAACTCTCTTTTCACGTGTCTGAGCAGAACCTCCCTGAACCGTCTACAGGTGGTTCAGAATGCCTCTGCTCGGCTTCTGACCGAGTCCTCCAAACACACCCACATCACCCCGCTTCTCCTCCAGCTTTACTGGCTACCAGCCAACTTCAGGGTTCATTTCAAGATCCTGGTTCTGGTCTATAGGGCCTTACATGGACACGCATCATCTTACATTGGTGATCTTCTTAGTCCCTACACCCCCAGCAGGTCCCTAAGGTCCAGTGATGAAAGCCTACTGGCAGCGCAGCGCACCAGGCTAAAGACCAAAGGTGACAGATCATCTGCTGCTGTGGCCTCCAGACTCTGGACCTCTCTCCCCCTGAGCCTGAGATCAGTGGACTCAGTGGTCTCCTTCAAAAAGCAGCTGAAGACTCACTTGTTCGAGCTGGCTGTTGTATGACCTTCTTCACCCCTCTCTC